GCTCCGAGTTTTGTTCTGATGCCACAGCTGTGTAGCCAATCACCGTACCTTTCGTTTGGTATATATATATAGGGGGTGGGAACTTTCTTCAGTGACAGAAAATCATGTACACACCAGACTCAGCCTCATTACACAGTCCTGTATGCTAACGGCGAAAGCTAACACTTACAGGGAAATGTTTTTTTTTTTTCATATTTTTTTGGCCAGTTAGCTGACTAAACCTGCTGATAAGATGAAAATATATTTGCTATTAAGTGTTTCGAGTGCTTCAAGACATGGAAGAGTGATTTTTGTGGCCTGGAGAAGTAAAAATGTTTGGATAAAAAGACTTCCGGTCGCCATTTTGAATCGTTAATTTGGACTTAGAGGACAAAAATGCATCAAATGTGAGTGAAAAAAATATGTTGTCACTGCTGGTGGTTTTATAAGCTGTGTGGAATGTTAATGCTCTGAAAGAAATAAGGATATATTGTTTATTCTTGTGTTTTGGCTGTTTATTGGTGGAAATTTGGCTGAAAGTACAGTGTTGGTGTAAATATTTCTGAATATTAATCTATTTTTTTTATTTAATCATGTTGTGAGTAAATATGGATGGTAGAATGTGTTTTGTGGGGTTTTATCTTTAATTTGAGCCCAGAGTGAAGTCCCTGTGTTGAAACATTTATAAATTACAGTGTTTTAGACAAAATGTACAGTTTGGACATTTTGTACAGGTGTACAAATATGCAAATGAGACATGCTGGATTGTACTATGTGTCAAATATTCATATTTTATGTTACTGTTACCAAATTTGAACTGGTAATAGTTGGGAATTAATATTTTAGCCCAGTAAAATTTGTTTGATAATATCTCATTCCCTTCACCTTCTGATACTTTATTAAAAAGATAAAAATAAAAAAAATAAAAAATTAGGGAGAAAAATATCTTGATTTTTGTGTATTTTACTTCAATATACTAAAAATTCAGATTATTAGCTTTTAAAAAAGACCAAGCTTGTGAATTTACTCTAAAGGGTTCAAAAGCAGTACTTCATTTAATTTGTGTACTTTTTAAGGCGTTTTATGGTATTTTATGCTGAACCGTGTTTCATATCTCCTGATTTCTGAACACAAAGCTGCTGTTTTCTGTTTAACATGTGGGAGGAAATCAGATTTAGCTGAGTTTGTTTTCAGATTCACCAGTATCTGAAAGTCATTATTTGTGCTCCTGAGGACACGAGTGTGATCTGTGAAACTTCAACCACGCTGTCAGTCAGATGAAACATCTCGTTCAGCTGCCACAGCCCTCTTCTCACTACTTTATTGTCTACACAGCAGAATCCTGGTGTTGGGCCAGTGCAGATGACCATAACTCCACGACTGACTGCACTTATAATCCCTGAAGGAAATGACTACTAAATAAATGATCCTTTTGTTCTCGTCTTGTTTTCCTCCCCGTCTACATCTCTGTCCTGTTTTGGAGTCTGATGAACAGAGGGGTGGGCCCTCCTGGTCCTCGAGGCCTGCTCTCCTGAATGTTTGACTTGTTTCTCTGCTCTAACACTCCTGATCGGAATGAATGGGTGATTATTAACCTTCTGCAGAACTTGGAGATAATTCAGTCACAGAGATAAGTGTGTTTGAGGAGTGAAACATGCAGGATAGTGGCCCTCGAGGACCACTGCTCACTCTTGGTCTGCAACCTTTACGATCAAAAGAGACATTTCTGCTCCTCGTCTCACTAATAAAATGCATTCAGAGCCGCAAAACAAGCTACAACTGTGATTATCAACTGGTGGTCCATGGGCCTTTTCAAGGCCTTTTCGGGAACTTTTATGGTCAGTGGAGGTGACATTATAAAACTAAAGGAATATTGTTATTGTTATTATATTATTTATTATTATACATATCAGGACAAATAAAAATAATATTTTCATGTAAAKTTTCGGAGGGAGGACGGTTGGAAACTGGNCTCATATTAACCAGATAGTAGTTTTATGCCTCATATTAACCAGATAGTGGTTTTATGTCTCATATTAACCAGCTGACAATCAGAAGCCATTCTATGGGACTGATAACTCCTAATAACATCCATGTCATTGATGATAACATCTGAAGCGGATGCCTGAGATCTAAAAACAGCTTCCAAAGGTAATTAAAGTTGAATATGATAATAGAAACGTTTTTAATTTTTTATTTTTAAATACAAATTTCAAAACAAAATTTTTAGAGCTGTAATCATAATACCGTGATACCATGATACAGTATTTTTGCCCAAGGTTATCATACCGGCATAATTTCATTTCGTCCCTTGTTACTTTGATGTTATTCTGCAAGAACAATGTCAGCTGTGTTGCTATAATTCTGATAAGTCTGACTCATCACTTTTGTCAAAGACTCAGACTGGCTGAACAGTTATCATAATCTTAAAGTGAGTAGTTTTTAAATATTTCTTAAAAACATACAGTAATCTCCAGTACCTGTATTTTCCCATTTAGGAGCTCAAGGAACACATAGTCCTCCATCCCTGCAGCCAGGAGCAGAAGGCCACTTCGGCGACTCGTCTTGATTTGTAGAGACAGTTGGAAGGTAGATACATCTTGGACAGCTTGGAGATGACAGAAACTGTCTCCAAAGTAGGATTCTAGAAAGAGTCAGGGGGACAGAGACATGTTAACTAGAGTGACTAATACTATATTTCTGACACTAAACCTGTGGACAGTTCCAGCTTGGAGATAAAAAAAAAAAAACAGCTAAATGTTATGAGGATGACATGAAGAAACATGGACAGCTCCTGTTTAACAGGTTTTTAAATATATATATTCATATTTAAACAGCAGAATGTGTCTCTACACTGTTAGTATTTTATAAGAGTAATAAAACAAATAAAATGGCTAATAATAGTAGTAGTTCTAAAACTGTGTGTGGGGAGTAAACTAATGCATGTGAAAGCAGTACATGAATGTGAACATGTATATTCTTACATAGGAGACAAAATAGACAGACATGATGTAATCACAGTCCTCGCTTAAAACATTTGATTAAAACATACTGAAATTTTACAATTTAAGATGTTTTGTTTCAGATGTCCTGAAGTTGGTTATTTTTGATAACATTTTGAATGAAGTAGAAGCAGTTTCCTGCATTCTGCTGTACTTGTACCTACATACAGTGTTGTATAAAGTACCACAAAGTGATAATTGAGTAAAAGTACAAGTATCTTACCAAAAATGGCAAATTAATGTCTAGTTGGTAATTTTCTGGAATATGAACTTTTGATCAAATGCGTACTTTAGAATTAGCTTCGGCAAAGTTTTTTTGTGCACGTGTTTTAGAATTAGCGCTTCCTACCACTGGTACACTGTGGCTTTTTACATCCCTTATACCAATATATGTATCAGGAATGCATCATAAATAATACAAATACATCATATATGTCACAAGAGTTTTAAAAGTACACTTCACTCCTTCATGTTTTGATTTACGGTATGTAAAAAGAAAAGTCTAAATATGCTAACGTGGCAAATTACAATGTGACAGTACCGTTAAAATCACAAGCCACTCACTGAAGAGGATACTTCACATCGTAAAACAGCAGCTGACTTAGCTCTGATTTCAAAAATGGGAAGTTATGGAAACAAATTGAATGAGTCTTTTTCAGTCAGATCTTCATGTGAGCTGATTTTTACATTATTCAGTGGCCTCCAGCCAGTCGTGGATAAATATGTGCTTCAGTGAGGCTTCAGAGGGACTCCCTGACTGAAACATCAGTCAGACGTTCTGCAGAGTTCCTGAACATGCAGAACATTTGGGTGCAGGGTTTCCCAGGCTCCACTTGTCTCATTTTCAGTCATGTGCTAATCAAACCACCTGCCTCAGACTGAGCTCTTTGGAGCTCAAGACAAAATGTAAACCAGGGAGGAAGTCGATTAATTACCAGTTCACATGCTCTGAAATTCAAATGGATCATTTCCAAGACCCACTTTTTTTAGACAACTTTTTCAGACATCTAAGGAGACGTAAGGGAGGGACGGACTATCAGCTTCTGGTAAACTATCAGTTCTCCTCTCAGAGAAGTGATAGTTTGTGCTTTCTTTATTAACCAACGTTCTCATAGGTAAACATAGACATGTGTGGTATCTATAGAAACGTCAGGATCTTGGCTAAAAACTCATAAAAACCATTTCTACGTCCACCAGACACAGACAAAACAACAAGCAGTTGAATCTGTAAACAAACTGCACAAAATGGCGTCTGGTCAAAACCCGGTCTCATCTGTTCACCAGTGACTTCTTCACACAAACAACATGTCTGCTGAAAGCAGAGACCTGACAGATTCTAAAAATATAAGTTTCATCACAATCCAACCAGAATTCACTCAACTAGCAGTAAAAAAACAGAAGACCTAGCACTCAGRTTTGAAAATTATAAAACATAAGTTTTACATGTAAAGCGCAGCGTCACTCACCGGACTTCTGGTTGTGTCTACGTGTCGTTTAAAAAATAAAATAAAATATAAAATGTGTCGCTTTTGGTAGTTAGTTTACTTATTTATCAAGTTGATTAAGTTTTGTAACTAAAAACTTTAAAAAACTCTACTTTTGTAGGTGGAGCCAAAATGTACCAATCTGTGCCACAAGAAAAAACACCTAAATATTTTAAACCTCTGTAACTTTGTTGTAGTTTACTTCAGCAGCAGGAGGTTTTACACAGGTAATGTCCGTAAGTGGATTCATGGTTTCCAAGAGTTTTTAGCCTTATTCTTTATACGTTTGAAAAGGTTATATACTGTATAATGCAGAAAAACCTCAGGCGAGGGGAAAAAAGCTGTTTTTTCTATGTTCCATCCTCAGTATGTCTGAAACAAAAGTATATGATGTGATACTGACACTCCTGATGAAATCTACCAAGTGTTAGCTTTATTTTGATATCAGAGGTATTTATATGGTGTTTTTAGGTGCTCAGATACACCCACTTACATTTAGACATGCTTTTTCAAGCACAAACTTCAAGAAAAGCCCCTGGGGTTTAAGAGGTTAAGACAAAGAAAGTCAAAGGAACGCAGTGATATCTGATTCTGCAGTGGCAGTATGTTGTGAGAGTGAGATGATGCTTTGAAAAACTCCTTCAGAACCAACATCCAACCGGCTGGCAGGATGGTGGGCCTAAAGTAAAAACCTCTCAGACTAAACTATTAGTTAAAAAAACTACTGTTCACATTCAGAACTATAAATGGGAAGCAGTGCTTTCCAAAGACTCAAGCGAAGTGTGTGTGTGTGTGTGTGTGTGTGTGTGTGTGTGTGTGTGTGTNTGTGTGTGTGTGTCTGTGTGTGTGTGTGTTTATAAAGGGCAGATGGTGTCTGTGTTGCATCTATGTTAATGCCACGATGCCAACTTCAAACCACTGAAGGGTACGTTTGTCCTTTTGTTTCTCATCCTAGAAATGAAAGCCGTTCATTCACAATCTTTGACGTATAATGAAAATGTGAGCAAACACAGCCTTTTGATGCAGCGAGGATGAAAGCAAAGCTCTTATCATCACGCACATGTTTTCATTTGACTAAAAGACACTTGCCTTCGGTTACAGCGACTGCTCAAAGTCAGTGAAGAAAAGTCTCAACACAGGGTCAAAGAGAACAAGAAACACTCAGACGTTTGACTGCATATTCACAAAAACAAATAACAAAATGCAATTATAGTAACTCAAACAGGAAACGTTAGGGAAAAGAGGTTTCAGTATTAATATATAGGTTATATAGGCTGCACTGAGAAATGATAATAAATAGAAAGGAAAAAACAAAGTTGGTATATAAAAAACAA